ATATACAAGTCCACAAATCTTTTTATTTAAAATGGCTTGATAGATATATTTCTGGCACTCTTAACCACATAGCTTCATGGAATTAAATTGGGCAAGTATATGGCGCCAAATTAAGACATCTTGCACAGACAGTCTGTTGCTCCTCGTTTTTGTACTTCTCCCATTCCTCACCAGGGAATTATAGAAGCTATTACGTTGTTTTTTGCTACACTTCTGCTCTGTAAACCTTTGTTCTGCAAATTGAATGTAAAGACTTAAAGATGCATATGTTTATATTTATAAAATATATGGCTATGACTCTATTAAAAAGCTCAAGAATGGCAATAACAGAATACAGGCACTTCTATGCGAGGGTTACTTTAGACCTTATGAAACTCCACCATTAGTAAGCACTTCACATGATACCTGGATGAGTAAGTTAATGTAATAGTTCAGGTTTTTTATTATCCACCATTTTAATCCTAAGCAGATTAGTTTCTTGTACCCAGACAATATTTATTTCGCAAAGTGTTTCAAAATAGTGACTTTGCTAAAACTACCGTTTTTCTGTAGCTATAAGACTTTCAGTGGTTTACTGGGCTTTGAAATAAACTTCATATCCTAAACTCTGCTGCACCAGTTACAAGTTAGGTCGTGAAGCTGACAAATGAAACGAGAACTAAGCAGGGGTTGAGTTCATCTGATGTAGGACTCGGGGGAAGCGGGAGCAACTACCCTAAGTGCATATAGTTCCACTGGGTTTTTATGCACAAAACCCCTGTAGTTAATTTACACTTTAAAAAAAAAAGTTTGTGAACATGTTCTCCATTCCTAAACACTGCATTTAAATATAACTCCTGTCTGTCATTAATTGAAACACCAGCAAAACTTCAGCACCAAGTAGAAATCATTAAGAGGAAAAATTTTCATGATGAGAACAATCAGCCATGGGAATAATCTCCCCAGGGAAGCGGTGGATTCCTCACCATTGGACACTTTCAAGATTCAGCTGGACAGGGTGCTGGGTCATCTTGTCTAGACTGTGCTTGTGCTAAGGAAAGTTGGACCAGATGATCCTTGAGTTCCCTTCCAACCTGGTATGCTAGGATTCTGTGAAAAGACTATCTAAAACAAAATTTAATTTTATAAAGCTCTTTCTCTCCAGCACAGATTAAGCCAGAACTGCAACATCCAAATCTAAATGATTTTTTTTTTTTTAGATTAAAATAATCTTTGGATTAAGAAATCCATAGTTCAGGTGTTCTGTTAGATAAGTAGTCGTACAGGACAGAAGGACAGGCCAAGCAATAGGTCAGCCATTCACTATGACAGCTGGTATCTCTTATTGCTACAAGGTAATGGAAAATAAGGTATCAGCACTTAAAGAAAAAAAAAAAAGGTAAAAGGAACTTTTACAACTAACACCAGAATGTCACTTAAGACTTAGCACAACAAGGGCCCATCACACCATTTTATCATTTCATTATTAAAACTACTGAACTACTTTCTACAACCACGTCTGAGTTCACCGTCAGGTTTCATGATTTTTCCCCAATTAATCCAGTCCTGTCTCAGGTTTACTTTCAACCAAGTCATGCTAGCAAAGATGACAGCTATTTTCATGGAAACATATCCCCTTGAGTTACTGCTAAACAAAGGAGCATGTAAGACAAAGTAAAATTATTTTGAGCGTTGTGTGTCTGTATATGGGAATGAAAAATTAGTATTACTTCCTGCAGAAAACATCTCTTTTTAATTAGAAACCATATAATGTGTATGTACAGGGATTTAGAAAGGTGATACTGCCCGTCTTTGTTAGCTATTTTAATGTGTTTTGTTAAATACTTCATTTGCAGAAAAGTGAAGAGATTTCAAATTAGCAAAACCATACCTTACAAATGCAAGTCTAAAACTTCAAGGAGTCTCCGGGAGATATTTAGGTGATATTGCCCAGGAGACTGGCACTTAATCTCCACCCCCATTACACAAGACTTGCTTTTTGCATTTCCTCTGCCTTTTTAAAAAAAAAAAAAAGAGAGGGGGGAGGCTGATCACGTTTCCTTGGAAATAAAAAAATTCTCTTGATTTTAATAATCCTAACTCAGTGATCCAGGGTTAATGGAAATTGACTGTTTTGAAGGACTAGCAAGAAGCCTATGCATTACTTATGCCCTCACAACAAAGATCAATCAATACTTCTGGCCACAGAGGAAATGCAAGTTTGAGTCATGATTTTTTTTTTTAAACAGATGAACAAGACTGGTTATGAGACTGGGTTTGGTGTCTAGAAAAATGTGAGAAGCTTAAATAAAACACTCCCCCAATTAGTATTTTATCTGATCAATGCTGTTTCTATAATTGTAAGTGAAGGTATTTTAAAATCTGTTCAGCTATTTATTCATACCTGTAATAAACGTTGCATTTACATCTTGTACTGATTAATACAACTGAAAAAAAAAAAATACTGTGGTGTAACTAGAAGATTGTTTGGTTTTAAAACGTCATTATTGAAATTTTACCATCTCAATTCACTGAAGGCTAAAGGCTACTCCTTGTCCAGCTTTTCCTGCATGGGTTTTTTGTTCTCTAGCAAATCTGTTTCTCAATTCTTTTTTTTTTTTTCCAGATGGAATTTACAGACTTTAATCTAGGATGTGTGGTCACAGAGCAGTCCCGGACAGAATGCTACTGTACAGGTAGAGATGGACTTTCTTGATGTGTCAGATTTACTGCCCATATGCAGATCAACTGTGTGTTACATGCAATAGGTCCAGTGTTTCCAGGTTACAAATAATGCACTGGGCATTCATGATATAGGGCACGTACACGAGTTTCTGCTAGGGAAATGCTGGCAGCTTTACTCAAGGCCAATAAAAAAAGACAATATTCACTTTTAAAAATGAAGGATTCTATCCATGCCCATTTCTAAATCAACAAAATAGGCAGAATGTGAGTATGTAGAGGACTTAGCATGCAGGAAAAAATGAACAATGTCATCAGTGAGAAAGCAGTTTAAAATAGATATTGAAGGTCCTTTTCTCACAACTTTTTTTCTACGGGAGCAATATGTGCCCCTGGCATTATGCAATAATACATCATGGCTTAAGGAAGAATTGCATTTAATGCAGCTTCACTTCCAAAAAAGTAGAAATCACTTCGTTATTGACTTATGAAGAAAAATGCCATAGCAGGTGACAGCCACCATACACTTGTTTTTGTTCAGAGTATTTCTATGCGTTGTTTACAGAGAAGCATGTGAAGTACCACCTACGGAAGAAGTGCAGCAATCTAGCAGCATGAAATAAGTTGTAGTGTTTCTAGAGTAGCTCCATGCAAACACAGGATACGTATTCCATTCGCATCACAAGGTTGAAACCTGTTTGTCTTCCTTTCACTTCTTTGGTACCCTTATGGAAAAGTTCTATAGAATTTAAGAAGAATTGGAAACTTAACAGTATGGAAATTACTTTTAACTAATAAATATTTCTGATGAGATGATGATGGAAAAACGCATGGAAAACTGACATTAAATTCTGCTGCATTTTTTCATAAAATGGAAATTTGGCATGGAATGGCAAAGAACGCTATCCTGGGTAAAAATAACAAAGAAATTCGTAGCATTCCATAACATTCTCAATTCAATCTATTTTTTTGCCACTGAAAAGGAAAACAGTAGCTTAGAATCAAAGGCCCAATTCTGCTCACACTGAAATCAGTGAAAGTCAAAGTCAGATGGAGGCAAGATCAATCCCAGAAAGTGGTACACTGAAAGCAATAAAAGCAGCAAAAGAAGTATATGAACTGTTGATTAAAAAACCCAAACCAAGATACTTCCTACTCTCATTTCTGCCCTATTTTTACCTGCTTTATAGCTAGAAGTAATCACGCTAAAATTCATTTGTTTACCTTGAGAGTTAACAACACTACCCAATCTCTTAAGAGAAATGGGTAGAGATTTGAAGCTAACAGAAACCTGAAGATGGGTGTGAAATAAATAGCATTTATTACAACATATTCCTTCTCATGTGTCACAAACTGCCCTCTGAGTCCTACAGTTCAAAATAACTCCCCCCTCCCCACCACAAACACACACTCCAAAGCCAAATCCCACCAAACAATTAAAAGAAATAAAACTGATCTTAACAGCAACAAGAGTTGATGTAAAAAAAAAAAACCTCTGTGTAGTAACCTACAATGAAATGATACCGGTACTTCCAGTTTTCTTTAGGAGAAGCCACTTTTCAAATACTGTGGCTCTTTCTTTGCAGTTGTTTGTAGCCATTATCTGTTCTTGCAAGAAAAGAGTTCAGATATAAATTCAACTCCAAGTTATTCTCTGTTCTGTGAAAAATTAGGGGATAGAGCCTTCTGTCACCACTATGGCCAATTCCCACTGACATGAACTGATAAATACTTGAATTTACCCAAGCACTTAAGCAGTTATGCTTAAGGCTAAGCATATACTTGACTGTTTTGTGATATCAGGAACCTAGTTGCAAGCATAGGATCAAGCTCCAAAAACTGTGCTTGAATTCTCAGATATAATCTGTGTATTCAGAAACTTCACGGCAGGCTGTTTCAGGGAGGAAAAAAAACCCCTTCTTAGGCTACAGTAGAACTGGGGATAAGTAGAAAACATTCAAAGTATTTGAACACAAATATCTGAAAAAATTATCAAAGCAGTTGCTTGCGTACTGCTAGAATCATCATTTTGCCCCCAGTCATAAATACAGGGTAAAACCACTATAAATAAATAGAGCAGCTCACTTTTCTTTAGAGAATGAACACATAAATAATACACATTTTGAAACAAAAAAATCATAGTGCAAAAATAAATTATCAAACGGAAGTTGTGAACATTATTTTACACAATGCTATATAAAACCTGAACCATTTGGAATAAAAGACTTTGCAGTTCACTGAAATAATGCATTAACATTATTATTTCTGCTTCACATTAAACTGCACAGTTTATCCTTTATCCACTAAAAACATAAAAATAAAATAAATTAAAAAAACCCTTAAGCTTTTTAAAAGGTTTATGGCAAACAAGATCACTTTTTGTTCTATCACATTTGTTATTAATTTAGCAGTGCAGTGATTGAATAATCATCTCAGAGTTCCAAATGGAAACTATTGCAGTATCCATAAACATCTCTTGCTCTTTATAACTCAATTTCTTTGAAATTCAGGCTTGAAAATTCCTGACATTCAAATCTGTAAGACATTATTGCAGTTAGATGAAGTTACAAGAGAGAGTCTACAGTCAAGTACGGTTGGGAGACTTCACGGCTCTCCTCACCATCACCGTGATCTTGTACGAGACATGAATGTAAGGACACGTCTGATGCCATTCAAGCGGTCTTTGAGGGATTTCATGGCCAGGAAAGGGAGCTGAGCTCTGTTCTCAAGTGGAAGGACAGCTAGGACCCACCAGCACCAGGCTGGCCCGTTAGGGTTAGCCTGCAGTGAGGGGAAAAAACCAGAAGTTAAGATACATATAGATGGTAAGGTCTCGTTTTTGAAGATTTCTCTCTGAAAGCACAGTATTTTCATAGCAGTCTAGCAAACAGGTCATTTCATTGCCAACCTAATGTCTTGTGATTACAGTATGGCTTGAAACAAATTAAAACTAAATTGCACCTTTCCTAAAAATAGGATGTTGAAGGCAGAAGCAAGATGCATTTCTATTTCTAGCAACAGTTTATAGGCTGGGCCTTCTAAATTATTTTTAATGTCTTTTGTTCCCATGTTATTATTGACCCAGCTCTTTGGGATTCATGCCTCCCTTCATACTTTATGACACTACTTCATATTTAGCTTCTGTTGTTATATCCTGTTATTTTAGGATCCCTACCATTTGCAGTCCTTGAACAAGAGTACCAAGTTTCCTCATCTATTTTCTCTCAGTCATTTAATTAGGGAAGTAGAGTAGGCAAAGAGGCATTTAAGTCTCCTGGGATTAACGCAGTTGGTTAAGTTGTCTCAGGAAGTTACCAACATGAAATACAAGCTTTTTGTTCACATCTGTACTACCACTGGTGTATAGCAACATAACTCAGACACTTAGCTTATGCAGCAGAGTATTCATATTTCCATCTTAAAACACAATGCCTCCCAGCTTATCGGATATCCCTGCTATTTCTGTCTCTAAAAGTTACATAAGCCACTGATTCTGCATACCTGTGGGTCAGGATCCTTAGCTGGCATTGGACCAAAATGACTGAGAATTCGACTTTTGAGTGCTTGCTTGAGGGAGTTAAACCACATATATGCCTGATCATAGACAGAATTATGGAGAACAAGTAACGCCGCATACTCTTGTCCTTGCACCTAAAATGAGTAATGAGAAGGGGAAGGCTACTGTTAGTTTAGTCTGCATGTTGGAGAAGGCACAATGTTAATTTTTAGGATTTTCTTAGGGTGGATAGGGGAAAGTAAAAATGAGAGTTCAGGGATAAATCCTGAAAACGAATTTAGTGTCCCCTCATTTTGCTCCCAGGCCCCATCATCTATCAAATCCTTCATTTTCTTAACCTATATTCTAAATCGAAGATGCTTGCAGAACAAGCACTTTCTGGATTGCTATATGAAAAAACATTTACATAAACATCATACAACACAGAAGAAAAGATTATGCAATGCTTTTTTTTTTTATAAATTATTAGCAGCTCCTCAGAGGAGACATTTTATCTTCTCATTGTATACTAAAAGCTCATACATCACCCAGAATACTTTGACTGCCTACATGTACATACATATTTTTAAATAAGAATTAATGTAAATAATTTTGAAGGTGTAGTGGACCCAATCCTGCTCTTTCTTACCTGAAAAGGAGTTTTCTAATTGGCTTCCATGCAAATGGAGGCAGGTTCCACTTCCTGCCCCCCCACAAGATGCAGTTATTCTGTCTTCTGGTTTTGTCTTCTGCTAAAAACCTCTAGGAAAAACACTCTTCGGTGTATGGGCAGTGTGTGTGCATGCTTATGGTAGCTATTATGCTTCCAATCTTTAACCATGAGCAGTTAGTAAATACCACAGACTTGTTTTACTAGAGACTGTTCTACAAAAAAAGAATTCACTGAGAACATACGTGCTTAGAATTTCACATATAATAGTTTAAATGAAATATTTCTAAATTTACCTTTTGATCCTCAATGTACTCAATATCTGCTGTATTATAGCCATCACGCTGGCTGTGCTGTATCACCTTAAATCTCCTCTTGCCGATGCTGTCTACAACAGAGCGACCATCAGCAAAGAATTCAACATTTCTTATCTCCAGAATGCAGCCATAATCTGCAAAGCTATTGAAATCAGAACAAAAGCAAGTAAACAAGTCTTATTCTCTGCACCCTTAGTTCCACAGAACTGCCATACAGCCAGTCCCTGCCACAAAGTATTTACCAGTGTCAGCTCATTTCTATTGTTCATAGTACTGACCTGCTGTAGTTCAAATTATTCCACAATTGTTTTCAAAACTATCAGGAAGATTCAGGCTGTCTAATCTGATTAACACTAACTGCATGTTTTGGAATACAGGGAACACCTTATGAAATTGAAAGTTTTACAGCTCAAAAGCATACTTTCTCCATAATCCTAATATGTTCAGTCAACTTGTACAGAAGAACAAATGACATTCAGAATATCAGAATTACGGAAGGACTATGAAATCTATAAAGATAAAAAGTTTTCCCACAATTTCAGCAGATTTTACTTTGTAGATGTGTATTTCGTGCACATCATACTTTTTATGGTGTATACATACCCTGTAGGCATACACGATAAAAAGAAGGGAAAGCTAAATACAGAGACAGACATTAAGGTCAAATTACCTAAGACTGACTGTAAATGGCTCAATGTAAATGCTCAGCCAGTCTTTATGAAGATCCTATTGTACCTCCACAGCCTCCACTATATTCAAAAACAGTGAGGATGTAAATGCATCCCAATCGCTTAACTATTCTTTTCGTAATTTAAAAAAAAAACCCAACAAATGAAACCCACCAACACCCCTTACTGCCATTTCAATTTGATTTCTTGTGGCAAAGCACTCAGATTTCAATACAGTAGAAAATTCCTTTTCATGTATTACAAGAGGTGTGCGGCTCAACTTCATGTAATACACGCTAGCTATGTGTGTTTCAAGAAAAATGGGCAGTCATTAGTCAGAATCTAAGTGCTCAAGAGAGGAACTTCAGTCTTCTCAAGGTCTTTAACTGGCATGATGAGAAAGAAACTTTCTCTACTGGAAAACTATCACAGATATTATAGCCGTGGACCTTTCTGCATCTCTCCAAAGAGACTTGCTCCAGACTAAGTGCTCACATGGTCCGAGCATGCTGCACACTCACCCCTTTACAGGGTCACTGATGCACATCCCAAATTGTTTGGTGCCAGTCTCCATGCACCTTCGAATCATCAGGCGGTAACATGGCTCAAAGATGTGCAGAGGGCATGGGACTGTAGGATAAGCCATTGTGCAGACAAATATAGGAACATTCTTATTTAGGCTGTAAGAAAGGACAAATAGGGACGACATTTTACCAGATGTCTGAGAAGGTATAAAAAACATTTTATGCAATAACATGTGTTATCTTTAAAATTATGATATCTTTAAATAGAAATTATAACATCTTTAGAATAAAATTCTTAATGGACTAAGTAAAAACTAAAATTATTTTTCCCCTTAACTGACAAGATATTAAGGAAAGTGATACAACACTTACTAGCAGAAGAATTTTTAGTTATGCTTTCTGGTTTTGCTAGTGAGAGCATTAATGCATCTCTATCACTGTTTTTATTTACTTTATTTTCCTTAATCCCATTTCTTCCCTACCCAGTACATTCCAACCCCCAGCCTGTAAGACTGCTTCCACCTATTGTCTCACTCTGGGGCTTTTATGGAGGGCCACTGAAAGCAACCACATTGCTTTATACTTTGTTTATAAAGCGACCTTCTGGAATTCTTCTACATCTGTTTGTTTAGTGCAGCATCCAGTTTTTATGCTAAAAAAGCATAATTTAAGCACAATTGCACCTGGACCCTGGTCTCTTTGAAATCAGGTGATACTGGGAAAGAAGCTCCTTTGTCAGCATCTTTGCTCGCGTTCCACAGCCGGAGGAGCCATTCATCAGCTAACAGCAGTAGCATTAAAGATTGGATTTTACATAAATGGATTACATACTTGGAAAGCTCTGCTATTTCCTCTTCATAAATCTTTCTTCTTTCAGTGAGTTCCTCTGGAAGATACCTAGCTATTAACTCCTCCATTAGTACTGTTTTACAGTATTTCCTCATAGCCAAGCACTGCAATAAAAACACACGCAAGCAGTTATAGATAACGTCTAGCATTTCAAAATGTATGGTGCCTATGCACAAGATAGTCATCTGTTAGCTCCGTTTCTTACGTCTACAGCAAATCAAAATGATCTTTTAAGCTTGCACTGCCACAGAAGAGTTGCTTATTGAACTATTCCCTATGTTATGGGTATTATCTTGGGAAATCTGGGAAGTAAAATCACCTACAGATTTTCTGAGTGCAGGTCTGGCCCTAAGGTTTGAACAGAGGAGTCTATCCATGCTTTGTAAGTCATAGAGCATTTTAAAAGTCGCATTCTTCCTAAGTTATGTAGTATTTCTTTTGAGTTGGGAGATATCAAAGGTTTCTGAAGGTGCGACTTGATCCTATCCTGTGCCCTTGAATTTATTCTGAGAAAACCCAAGCATCATTACCTCCGAGAGCCCTTCCTTACACAGGGGACATTTTGGGTTGTGATCCAGGCATCTCTCAAGACATTTGAGACAGAAGGTGTGTCCACAAGGTGTAGTGACAGGTTCATAGAAGAGTCTGGAAAAATCCAAAAAACAAAGACAACAATATCGTGTACCAAAAAAAGCTGTATTCATGCACTAATTTAATGACTAACTACTCCAGGGATAAAGTTGTTCCTTGCTTTTAATTTCTTCAAACTTCTGTATTTATTCAGCTTACAGACTTTCTTATTGCCACCTAACATGAAAGGCAGCCCGTGAACTCTAATTGCAGTGAATGTGAGAGAGAATATTGTCACTGACTTCCAACAAGCCAGGATTTACTTTTCCTCTATGTCAGCAATAAATAGAAGCAGAAGTTGGACCATCTGACTTTTTCTAATGAAATTGAGCAATACTTGCACAACTATTACTGTGGAAATCATGTGGTTACTTGTGTGTGTAGAGCTAAGCACAAAATAGCTATTTGCCGTAATAGCCCACATAAGTGATGGCAATAAACTATTATTGCCAACTCTAATGTGGACTTGGAAAGCAGTTTTGTTGGAATAGACAGTTTTTCACCTTCAAATGACTGATTTTCTGGAAAATGAGTGACATTAGGTTCATGTTTCATCTAGAAAAATATTTAAATATATAAGGCCAGGTCTTCAAAGCATCATGGTACCTCATCTCTACCCATTTCAAGCACCCCGTGACACTTATTTTCATGTAAGGATTTTTTGCATCTTATGATCATGTGATATTGCAAAGTGATGTTTCCTTGCCAGTAAGTACCTTCAGGAGATGTAAACAATATGGAAGTTGTTTTGTTTGGTTTTTTTAAATAGAAAACATTCAAAACCAGAAATTAAGTTGTTTGGCATATACTATATTCTACAACATACTGTCTAAGCATTTTAAGGTCTCAAATATTAGTCTAATTATAATTTAAGTGCGTTAGTAACTTTACTTTAAAATACTACAGTTTATCAAAACAGCGCACTCGGTTCTATTATACATGTGCAAATTATAAATATGAAACCCCACATTTATTAGCATCTTTAACAAGATGAGTATTTAAGAACGTAATTTGCTCTTAAGAAGATTGCCATAGACAGTTTACTAAATGTCATTAGTTGCTATAAATATTGACATTCAAGCAAGGGAACGTATGAAGAAGTATCTAAAATACCACACCTATCTTATTGCAACTTGGCTGTATAATCGAAAACCCTTGTTAATTGTTTCATGAACAGAAAGCTCACTGCACCAAGGCTACCTTATTGCTTTAAGCTATGTAAAATACTGAACTCTACACTACGTTTCAGTAAGCGCATATGTAATTATGTAGTAGTGACTTGGTCTGAAATGTTAGCATAAAGACAAGAAATTCCTGTTAAAATGCATGGTTCTGCTCTAGCTCTCACGACCGCCAGCAGCAGCTTTTTCCTAATGACTCTAAATCACAGAATCACTAAGGTTGGAAAG